AGTTGATGAAGATACTTTATAGGGTTGCAAAAACATAGACTGATTTTAACTAACTTCTTTTACAGGGTGAGATAATTCACATAACAGAGAATTTGCGTTAAAATTTTTAACAGGCGTCTTGACAATGAAAGAACTTTCTTTCAAACAAACAATTATAAATTAGAGTCTTCTAGGTACTTTGGTCGTCATTATCACAGTTATTTATCTATTCAATAGTAATTCGTTATCGTTAAACTACTTACTGTAAGTTTGCTTCTAAATACAGCTATGTAGGTACAAAAACTTTTTGTGTAATAAAAATAATTGAATGGTTTAATCTAGCCAACACAATAATAATATGTTAATGAAACCAAACAGACAGTTCCATTAACAATAATAGACAATTTGAACTTGTTGGTTCAACCCTACTACCAAACAAATGTAATTACAACTTGCGCTTTTGGTCTGGTACTCTGGTCACGGGTCTAGTGCAAACGATAATCTAGGTCGAACTGTATTCTAGGTAAAGATAGAATCTTATCTTAAAGATATCAAATATTAAACGAGCGAGAGTGAGCAGAAAAAGGTAAAACACTATGTAAAAGTTAAATATTATACTTAAGTATGTTAATTTATTGATAATCTTAGTTAAAAAAACGATAATAAACAGTGAAACGAAATAAATACTGTTTAAAGCAAAAGTAGACTTTGAACGCCTACAGTAATTCTCTAGCAACATTTCGAAAGAACTTGTATCGCTACTACCAAACATTGCTAGGCGCTTAGAAACTGGAGTCACATCCTCTATACCATTTTACTCGGAGTTACCTAGTAAATGAAATCATGTTTTCTAAGGGAATTTATTTACATCACGCGTACTGTAAATATTACGTGTAGCCTCGTACTAAATATGCTAAAGGCTCACGCGTCTTGTGATTATTCACCATCACGGAAAGCAAGCCGAGGCGTTTGCGCATTAAACACGTGGGTTGAGTAAGAGGACACACACATGAGAGGAGCGAGGAATGAGGGCACACGCGTTTTGATACCCTCACTATAGTCTATTCTATAGTCCTAGAGACTACTTCAGAACGGAGGCCATAATAAAATAGCCATAGGGATTAATGGAAGTCCTATAACAGGTTCAGTTAAAAAGTCGACTGTGGAGTTAACATAACTTACGACTAAGGCCACTTGGCATTTGACATCTGTCTTTGACTATTGGTTATTATTTTAACTACGAATCAAAAAACTGGGATTTAGTTTTAGTCTAAACCGCGTGAGACTATGAGAAGGAGCCTAGTACCTACCAACAGTTGGTAGGTTAAACCAGTTAAACGTTCAATATAAACATCAGAAGTTATCCAAATCTTTAAGCATCTTAGCAAGGCAAATGAAAATGCGTTTTTTCGCTCTCCTGTAAAATTTACTCTGCTGCACTTACTAGGTTCTTAAATGGTTCAGCCGAACTATTGACATGCCTTTTAAAATGGGACTAAATTCCAATTGGTAGGACCTCAGATCATAGACTATGATCTAAGGGTAGGACAAAGCAGGGCAACGCCAGGAATGTGACTAAAATTTTGTGACTTTTAGTCGGTCCCTTAGATCATAGGCTATAATCTGAAGTCGGTCCATTGCCATTATAGAGATAATAATCACTGTGAAAAGGTCTACTACGATACAATAAGGACTACATAAACTTATGGGCGATAGGATTAGTTTACTAAATACTAAGTAGGTATTTCATATAAACCCACTAAGTTTTATTCCAATTACAAAAGCCTGTAAGTATACTTAATACTTACATAAATGACTTTTAATTAAAAGTAAAGCGAGCACTTTATAGGCTGAGAAAATAAAGTTTATTAACTTAGTGAAATCTACAAGTAGGTACTAGGTAAACCTTTGACGTTTCAAGTGGTGTTATTTATTATACTTAAACGATTCTAATATTCTTACTAAAGTGGTTGAATTAAGTTAAATGTTATCTCAACTATCGTAGTAAAATTACGTAGGTATAATAACTTCGAATTCGTAGTTATTTATTTCGCGGAGTGTGCAAGCTAAAAAGAACTTAGTTATTACCTAAGTTAAATTATCATAACATTAACTTGAAAACATCTAATTAAATACACTTAAATGCATGCTCATTTTCATAATCATGTTTAAAACGGAGCACAAAGGGCATCGTGGTTCGTGGACCAAGAGTCCAAGCTAAGTCTTGAGCTACCAAATGTTCCGGCGTATGACATAATTCTCAACTGTGCAGTGATAGTGATGTAGTACCTTCCTTCCTACTATAATATCCTGTTCAAGTTCTTTATCGATGAAATCATCGTAAGCCTAGCCGCAGACCACCGACTTTTAGTTGGCCGATAGTTGGACCCGATTCTAATTTGTATGAAGAATCGGCCGATACCAAATCGGTGTAATGTGCGCACTTTCATACATGTCCATACTGATTAAAATCCTGACCCAAACTATCGGCCGACAAAAAGTCGGTCGGCCTAGGCTAAAGCAGGTGAAGCCAAGCAAGAGCTTCCACGTGGATAAAAAAAATAGAAGTAAGAAAAATGAGACAGAAAAGTTCTCGAGTGACGACCACGGGCCAGAAGACATAGAGCGTGGGCAGGCCCCCCACTAGGTGAACCGACGATCTGGTGAAGCAGCGCAGGTGGGGTCGTTATTTAAAACCTTGGGGGAGGCCTTCGTAGAGCAGTGGACGTCATTTAGCTGAAATCGAGAACGCGAGTCAATAAAAATATCGATTCGACATTTCCCAGCCTTCTCGACACTTACAATGCACCCTGCACTAGCCAAATCCTTGAAACCTCCATCGGGGTCAGTTTGTCTTCAACTGGATTGCCAAGCGAAACGCGACTCTATCTCCGAGGTATAAAAGTGTGGGTTTAACATTTGCATGGAGCCTGTGCGGATGATTTATATGATGGTCCGCAATGCGGAGTTAATTCTTTTGGATGTGTGTTTACGTTTACATGACAATGGAACTGTCCCTCACACTAGTGAATTTTACAATGGTCACTGAAAAGGAAATTAATCACACTTACAAAGAGGTAGGTTGGTGGTCCGACGATCTGGTAAAGGTCGCGGGAAGAGCCTGGATGCGGGCAGCGCAGGACCGTTCACTGTGGAAAACGTTGGGGGAGGCCTTTGTCCAGCAGTGGACGTCATTTGGCTGAAACGAACGAACGAAAGTAACTAGGTGGTTGGTACTCTTATGCCCGTTTTCACCAACTATCCCTAATTTTGAAGTGACCCCTATGAAAACAAAATTCGCAGACCTTAAACATTCCCTTGAGTTATTAGGTCCTTCCCTTCTATGATCTGAGGTCCAGCCAGATTCCGTCATTTCATCTTCTTCTCCACTCCACTTTGGTGGAAATCGGGCCTTAGTAGTAATTAGAAGGCACCTATTAATGTTAACGTCATGTAGGCCTATCGTTTGCGTCACCTTAGCCTTTATGATTTGCAAATTAACTTACGTCAATATTAAATTAATTATTTGCTTGAATTAATAGGTTGTTGTAATGTGCCATTTCCTTTTGATGTCGGTTAAATAAATTATGTTGTTTTCTGCTAGTTTATCCTTTCTAATACCTATCGCTTCTCCCTCCAAGATTCTAGGCACACTAATTGCAAAACGCCTCACAGTCACGATAGCACGCGCTGCGAACGACGCGCGACGTTCCTCAATGCGCGGGACGCCTTCTCGCGACAGTGAGACAAGAACTTTTAAAATTGTGTCAACTTTTAACGATTGTGGTCAAATACCTGCATTATCATGCATAAAAAAAAACAAAGACTTCAATCAAATGAAATCAAAAAATAAAATTATTTATTCGCAATACAAACATTTTTCTGGCTTAACCCTTTTTAATACCTATCGCTTCTCCATCCAAGATTCTAGCACAAAATAAGATTCTAGGCACACAGTTTAATTGCAAAACGCCTCACGATAGGGCACGCGCTGCGAAATACTTTCCTCAATGCGCGGGACGCCTTCACGCGACAGTGAGACAAGAACTTTTGAAACAAAAACTTCAAGCAAATAAAATTAAAAATATTTTATTTCTTTTTTGGGTGGATTTGATGTTGATCATAAGAAGCCTTATGTCTGCCTGCCCTGTCAGCGGTTCGGGACAAACATTTCATTAGCATGTAAAGGGCTTGTTCCCACGAAGACATCCCGTTTTTTTAGGATTCCATTTAGCAGTAGTATACGTTAATATTAACGTTCACACGAGCATCCCGTTTGCAGTGTCCTGCAAAAAACCGATCCGATTTCAAACACACTTCACGCGCAAGTCTAGTTTTGCAGGATTACTGGAACGAGCCCTAAAAGGTGTTTATCTTTTATTCTCTGCTCTGTACTTTTTGGCCCAAAAACCATTGAGCTCATCTTGAAAACTTTTGTACTCAAAATTTCGCATTTGGCTGTTATCCTGCCTAAAATATGCGTCATAACACCGAAACAACTGGAACAAGGCAATAAATCAATAACAACTTTACACATGGATATTCAATTCAAAGAATAGTGGCTAGACAAACATTATTAATATATTAGAAAACAACACATAACAATGGCCGTATATTGACTGCCAATAAAACACTTGAGCAAATTCAAATTTTTGTTGGTGTTATGACGTCACAGAAATGTCGCACGGAATTTGGAGCCACTTACGTAGGTAAGTTTAACCAGAAAAACGTCTAGATTATAAATAATAAAAAAATATTGTCTGTAAATATTTTTTTAAGAGTAGATAGCGTGAAGTTTGAGTAAATAACTTCTCCTTTCTATAAATAATAAGTGCAGCATAACCTATATTGCACACGCGTTTAATTCTATAGAATTGTTTTCAATATTTGTCAAATTTTAATAATAGGTAATGTTTAATTGTTTGTACAGATGAAAATGTCGTCATGGCGTACTACCAAATACGTACATTGACTACCTGATATAAAAAGGAAATCATTTCGTAATTTTACACTACTCTTACAAGAACCTTTGCTTAATCAGTTGTGTGAAGATTTGTTAAAAAAAATAGTGGGTCATTAGCAAAATGAAAGCAGTAAGTATTTAACCTAATTTATATCATTATTATTCATTTATTATGTAGACATTTTGTCCTAAAGTTAGTAGAGAAAAATATTTTCTTCTTTCCAACATCAACCTAATTTATTCCTTTTAGATATTTTGGACTAGTAATGACGTGAAGTACTATTTGGTCTATTTGTTCTAGCCTAAATAATCAAAGCTTTTCAGATAAGTTCAATATTACATCTTTTGTTTCAGACAGTATTTATATGCTCACTTCTGATCTCTCTATCAGTTGTGATAGCACAAGATCCTGAAGTCGAACAGGAACCTGAAGTGGAAGTGGTCCCTGAAGTGGAAGAAAACCCTGACGTGGAACAGAGCCCTGACGTGGAACAGAATCCTGAATCTAAACCTGAACAGAATAATGCACCACCAAGCAGCCCTCCAAGTTCTCCCATAGCACCACCACCGTACCCGTACCAACTAATGCAGCAGTACACTCAATACTTGCAGTATCTTCAGTACATGCAGTACGTATCGCAGTATCAATTGGCTTCGCAATATCCTTATCAGTACCCGGCCGTGCCTTCTCAGTATCCAGGGGCCCAGTATCCACCAAGGTCTTCCCAGTACCCACCTATTGCGTCCCCGTACCAATATCCACCAAAGAGTTATCCATCAGTTTACCCCTCTCAATACTCCCCTCAATACCCTCCACAGTATCCACAATACCCACCACAGAGGGCATACGCACCGACCGGTGGTGTCGGTAAATAAAAATATCTATATTTAGTCAAAAAACCCGAACCCGCCAGTACTTTTGTGATGTAGCACCAATAATAACTAGGATAAATAATAACTTTGTAAATAAATAAATTAATACATTTTAGAAACTGTTACACTCATTTCCTAACCAAGTAATGCCGTTCCATCATGGGATCTGTGTTTAAAAAAACATCCTTTTATGACATGGCATTTAAGTAAGGCTATGCAATTACGGGTGACTGACTTGTCATCGTGACAGTATATTTATTCTATGTATAATAAGTGGGTCCATATTGGCTCACCTAAAGTTATTTACCCGAAATTGTTCGTCCTAACGATTTTAAATCCGAATGATCACTCTTCCTAAAATTTTTCATCCTAAAGTTTTCATTCATACTATTTTTAGTGCTACCGGCGATGTTCATAACACTCATGTTTCCGAAAATTGTAATTAATAATATCATTTATGTAAATATATTTAAACTCCTACTGTTTTTTATTATAACACTTTTATCCCTAAACTATACTAAAAATTTTTTCACTCATACCATAGGGGCCGTCCATATATTACGTCATTCTAAATTAGGGGGGGGGGGTTGGTCTGCGGATGACGGTAAATGATAGATAGGATTCGTTTCTGGAACTTGACTGAATGACTGGAGCGGGACTCTGGCTTCGCTCGCTCGGCTGGTGCGTTGTGGTCACAGTTCTAACCTAACCTAAACCAATAATTATGAATAGGACCGATTAGGAATTGCTAATGCCAACAAACTTGAACTTTAATATATCGTCAAAGAAAGAAATCTAAACAAAAAAGATATGACTTTGAATAATAGTGTAAAATATGGTTATGTTTAGAAAATCTAGGAGAACAAATAAAAGTATAAAAGATGTTTATTGCTAATGACATTATGAAGTTGAATGATTCGGAATTATGAACATTAGAGATAGAGTAGTTAGGAATTGTGATTGTTAGGATGAAAAATTTTAGGAAGAACATTTTCGGACTTCCAATTTTCGGAGTTGAAAATTTAGGTGAACTTTGGCGCACCCATAATAAGTATGTATTTACAAAAAAAAAGTATTTAAGTATGTTTATATCCGTTGTCTAGTACCCATAGTACAAGCTTTGCTTAGTTTGGGACTAGAAGCGCAGTGTAAAATGTCTAAGGATATTTATTTATTTCTCTTTTTGTCTCTATAAAAAAGGTGTACAAGAAAGGAATACTGTCACGGCGACAAAAAGTCACTCGCGCGTGCCTAGCCTAACTTTTTAGTGACGTAATATTAATCCCCACATGGAGAAAATAGTTACCTATTATTCACAGTGAAGTTTATTCTTCTTTTTTTCTTAATAATTTATTTATGGTAGTTAAAGTGTACAATAAAGATTTTCTTGCGTTTTATTTTTATATCAAAGCCGATTTCCTCAACAAATGAAAATCCGATCGAGTGCTTCAAACTCGAGTCAATAACCGTTAGTTTCAGTTCTAGCTGACCTCACTACCTCTATTGCCTTTGTTTATTACCTTAGAAGCATGTTTAACTTCGTGGTTCCCTCCCGAAGTTTCCAGAATCCAGCGTAATAATTATTAAGCCAGTTGTTTATTCGTGCATAACGCCGTCCATCGCAACAGGCAGAATATAACGGCGTGCGCCAGAATTAATTAGCCAACTAAAAACTTGGCTCGTTTTGTTTAATGCCGACCGAGACTTAAGTCTTAAGTGTTCGGTGCTGAAGAATTTGGGTACAGGCAGCACATCAAGCTTAACACTGTGGCACCTTATGTGGGTTGTAATTGGAGCTATTTTGCTACAAAAATGTATGTTAGTCAATGTTTAACGTGCCCTAGTAACTTTAATTACCTTATTATACAGGCAATCTTATACTCGTAGTAGACGAAACCCTTTTGCCTCTGTTTTTGCAGTGGAGATGACCCTACAGCCTACACTATTTGACTTGACTTATGGTCCTATGTCCCCTAGATGGGGCAGAGGGGTGCAGAGGGCGTCCACAGTCCTCCATCGCGTTCGATCTTAGCTTCGCGTTTGATCTCGCTCCAGGTCTTGCCGATTTTCTTCGCCTTGTCTGCTACAGCTACAGCGGCGCACTGCGCCGCCAAGTTTGCTTGGTTGGGGCGACCACGTTTGCGTTTTCGTTGGGGGTTTCAATCCAGAGGCTGCTAGACTAGGATGCTCGCTATTATATCGTCTTATCGAGGCATTTCATCGATTTTAGACGATAATCTCATACATTTATCGTCTAAAATAGAGGATCAATTCTTTACTCATGTGCCTCTAGTGTGTCACTTTACAATTACTTCAGTGTGAAAAGCTAAAAACTAAAACTACCCCTTCTAAACTAAAATTATCCCCAAATTATCTGAAAGCTAGCATACTGCAAATCCCCGCAAACAGGTGTGAATCTTCGTTGCAGGCCGTTCTAATTCTAAAATATTGTCGCGGTAACACCGTAGGGCTGTCGACTAACGGATATTCGGTTACTATCGGGTATCCGAAATGAAGAAATATCCGTAGCGTATGTACTTATGAGCTTAGATTAATAAAACCTAGATAGATAGTCAGTGCACGAAAGGTGAGGCAGATTTTAGGAAGCCAGAATGGCTTACCCGTAAACGTCACATGAACTGTCAAAGTGAAAAATTGGTAAACACGTCCGACGATTTTTAATTAATTAAGACGGTTTGTGCTGTGAAAGGGTGTCTAAATACATCAGAAAAACTAAAGAAAGTGACCAGTGTTACATTTCATAAGTAAGTACTACAATTCGACGCGTATTTTGCTTGAATTTGGCTTTCAAAAATTAAATACGGGAATGATACCAGTAACAAGAAAATTTATTTCCCAATTGTTCGCCGTACAAATACACTTCCTTTTTTATGAAATCGAGACTTTTCAGTCGATTTATCTTATTGTAATTAGGTAGGTACTTTGAATTCAATAAATATGTAAGTACATGATGCGTTTTGTTTTTGTTAGTTATAAAATAATTAAAAACGTATTAAAAATTTCCCTACTTTCGGGAAAATCGCCTTCACTGTCTACACTCCCCAACAAAATTGACACTAATGACATAAGATTTTTGCCTCACTCTTGACGAAGCGTTTGTATGAAGACTATCCATCTAGGTTTTATTAATCTAAGCTTATGAGTGAAAATTAAGTTTTTGGGCTGAATGATTATTGGATGATTTTCCTATTGAAATCTTTGGAACCACCACAAAGAAAATAATAAGAATATTATACTTATGTACTTATTTGCGGCTAGTGAGTATGAAGTAGATAAATAAGAGGTAGGCCTCGGATACATTCTCTGTAATTTTACCTATATTTTTAAAATTCAGACCTGGGACTTCTGAAAGCTCTCCGAGAGCTCAACTAAGCTAAAGAGTTTTACCCAAATTATGGTCTAACTAATATGGTAGTTTTCGTTCGTTTAAATATCCGAAACCGAACCTTCACTCGCAGCCCTCAAAACGAGGATATCCATTTAAGCCGCGCTGCAATATCATTTCCTTTATGAAATGAACGTTATGGTTTATAACACTTTAATCTGTTACGAGAAAATTGCTGTTTATCTGGTTAGAACCTATAAAGACGTATCATATACGGAGCTGTAGGTCAAGCTCTTAACTCAGTCAGTTCCAGAGGTATGGGAGCGGCACGACATCAACGACATTGATCTCATGACGAGACAGGGCATACAAATCTGAAGTCTCGCTGATGTATGACCGTCACTGAGTTAAGGAGAGCTAGACATATTATTATACTGCGGAGTTCGGCAGAAGTTGCGTTTCCTAATAAAGGTTTAGATTACATAGTAGAACACACTTTATTGTGCATCATAAAACACAAGACAAGAAAAGAAACGAAGGAAATATTCAAAAGAGACGGAGCGTCTAAAAGCGGGGTCTATGCTTAAAAATCCCCTGGATTAAACGACATTCCCCTGGGCCAAAAGCTGGGTACGCCTATGGGCAGTTGGGCACAGAGCATTAAAGTGACACATAAAAATACAAACAAAAAGTCCCGTAAAAACCGCGGTCAATCAATCTCGTAAACGCTTCCAAATGGGAAACAATTATTCTGATAATAAATTTATCACGCGATAAATCCGAAATTATTGCAACCGCAGATCCGTCATTTCATTATTCGTCGAATAAAATAAATATTTCGGTTACCTGTCAGTGATAGGGCTGGCGCTGAAGTTTGTTTCATCATGAAAAAATAATGTTATGCTTCGACCATTTTAATATTTCAGTTAAACTATCTCTAGCTCTGAGAACTGGGCCAGAAAAGTTCTCGAGTGGCGACCACGGACCAGAGGACGTTGTGTGGGCAGGCCTTCTACTAGGTGGATCGACGAATGTAGGTCGCAAGAGGACGGTGTCTGGATGCGGGCGGTGCAGAACCGGTCGTTTTGGAAATCCTTGGGGGAGTCCTTTGTCCATCAGTGGGCGTCATTTGGCTGAAACGAACGAAAGTTCCCCAACTAGTTAATGCTAAAAAAACAGAATTAAGAAGGCTCCTAAAAAGAGCAAGTTCAATAAATCCTAAATGGCAGAGGAGAGAACCCATGTGCAGGTTAAATTCGCGCTTATCCGTTTTTGATTTACAGCTTTGTAAAATGTGGCAAGGCGTTTTGGCAGCCCTACGCGTCGGTCGGCCGATAACATTATTTTATTTGGCTACAAAATCATTTTACGCCTGCGTATAGGCTTTGCAAATGTAAATATGAATCGATGACGTTATGAAGCATTAACTACGGCTCGTAATTTACGGAATAAGCCTGGTTTAGGTAGAAATAAATGGTCAATTAATTTTAAAAGCATCGGGATTCGGGGGATGTCATCAGAATTTTTAGCCAGAAGTAAGGGGCAGGGCACCGACGAGATGGTCGGACGCGGTGAGGAAGACGGTGGGCGGGAGTTTGCATCGTGCGGTCCACACAGCTTATGACCGCAGTCTGTGGAGGAACACTATCTGTGGTCGCGATCCTCATTAGTGAGGGACCGAGGAAGAAGAAGAAGTGACTAACTGTTTTAACTTGATAATACATGCACGATCTAAATCGTTTGTTCGTTTCAGCCAAATGACGTCCACTGCTGGACAAAGGCCTCCCCAAGAATTTCCATAACGACCGGCCGGTGCTGTGCTGCCCGTATCCTGGTTCCTGCGACCTTTACCCACCAGAGTCGGTCTCCTCATTTCTGAATCGACCACGCAGACCTAGATAAAATGAAGCAAATGGAGAATTTGGTCTACACTCCCCACGATGGCCACACCGGTTTGAGAGGATGTGCTGT